AAGCTCCTGGTGTTACAGTGGGCAACTAATTAAGAAGCTTGGCGTTAGGGTTGAGATGTAATAGGCTAGCTTCGCAAAGGGCAAGCTCTCCAGTATGAATGTGTGTCAGTTAAGGCAGATGAACTTTCCCCAGGATGTGTGGGAGGACCTGGCTGTCCTTTCGGGTATCATCTTTAATAATAATAATAATAATAATAATAATAATAATAATAATAATAAATTAAAATAAAAACGCAACAACAAAAAAACCTTTATAGTAGGCAGTATAATTACTGCCTACTAATTCACGTACTATGACCACAGTTTGATGAGTTGTAAACATACAGTTGTGAACTCTCCGGCACAACCCCTTTAAAGACGTTTATCACGACTAAAAGTCCCTTCATACCTATTCGCAGTCCCACTGGGAGTTGGCTCTTTACAGCCTCCCTGCCTTTTCCCCCAGGACCCTCCCAAGCCCATCTCATAGCCCTGTTGAACAAGAGAATACCACAGTGGCCAAGGAGCCCCAGCCTCAGTATCGAGCGTCCCCAGGCCATTACCATGCTTCCTTCCTGTTAGCTGGTGAGTAAATAGGTAGTCCCACGAGCACACCCACACCCTAGCACCAGTCACCTCCCTGGCCACCCATGTACTGTTAGGGCCAGGCCATGGATATGGAATCAGAGGACCTGACAAGGGGAGCCCCAGTTCAAGTCCTCACCAAGTAAAACCTTGCCTACTCCTTGAGACCTGTCTAATGCCTCACTATGTGGAACCCTGGGAGAGGGGTAGGGCACTGAGAGAGGGAGCCACTGAGGGACCAAACCTCAGTGGAGAAACAGTGGGAGGGAAGTGGAGGCGGAATGTGGGTAGGGTGGTTGATGTATTAATCGAGTGAGAGAGATGGGGGGAGGGGGAGAGGAGGAGGAGGAGAGAGAGGAGAGAGAGGTGAGAGAGAGAGAGAGGAGGAGGAGGAAGAGAGAGAAGAGAGAGAGAGAGAGAGAGAGAGAGAGAGAGGTTTATTATTAGAATGATTTACAGGCTGTGGTTCAGCCAATCCAACAATGACTGTCTATGAATAGCAGATACAAAAATCTAGTAGTTGTTCAGTTCAGAAGGCTGGATGTGTCTCAGCTGGCCTTCAACATATGCCAGAATCCTGAGAAAGTAGAAGGAATGGATTTATTAGCAAAGGGAAAACAAGCAGATAAAAAGTAAAAATAACCTTCTTCCATGTCCTTATATAGGCTTCCAGAAGAAGGCATGGTCCAGATTGGAGGTGGGTCTTTCCCCTTCAAAAAATCTGTATTCAAGGTGTATCTTCCAACTCAAAGATCCATGTTAAAGATGTGTCTTCCCACCTCAAAGACTCAGATTAGAAGCGGATCTTTATGCTTCAAATTAAACAAAAATCCCTCAAAGATGTGCCCCATTTAGGGGGGGGGGGAAGTTAGTTAATTGCAGATGTAGTCAAGTTGACAGTTGAGAACAGTCATCATAGTTGAGGAAGGATAAGGGTCACAAGATGGACATTTCAAAGCATGTAATTCTTCTCAAGAACTCAGAATAGTATGGCAATGTGAGGCAGCTGGAAGAAAACCTCATCACAAAACACAGCCTTTTAGAAACACCCAAGTAAACGCAATAGTGGTTCAGGTATCCTGTGGATTCTTGGGATAATGATAAGAATCCCCCCACTTGGCTTAGAATCTCCAGCTTCACGGTCCCCCGTGGAGTTCTCTCATCTACAGTAAGGCTGGCTGATGTTACCTACCCCATCAATTCCGAACCAGATATGTCCAGGGCCACAAGGTGTGGATTTTAATGTGAATTCAGCCTGGCTGATCCCTCCTATGCTCAAGAGGACTAGGGAGGAGACCCTCCCCCCTTAGAGTTGCAAGCCCATTTGCATTATGGGGAACAGAGCAGACACAAAAGGCTGGAATACTGCTTCTGTGTTCAATCTACCCAGGCCTCCCTGTGACCAGCGGGAAGAAGTTCCCAGCCACTGAGGCACATCAATTAACCCATCCTGGACTCCAGCGGGACTCACTACACACAGGCTGCCCGTCACATTCTCAGTATATTTTCTTTCAGACAAGTGGCACCCCAACCCTTGCCCCTACCCTAACCTACAGAAAGTAGGCCATAGCCCTGTGGAATCTCAAGAGTGAGGGGAGGAAAGACTAAACAGTCACCACCCCCCGCCATTCTCAAATCAGCCCTCCTTTCTCCTGAATGATAATATACTCTACGGCAATCCTGGCGCCTCAGTACAGAGGCAGCAAGCGAGACAGATGACCCCCCGAGAACCCAGAATATAACAGAAGAGCAAGCAGGTGTCCTATAGTCCCGTGAGAATTCAGCAGCCTGGGAAAGAAACCATTACGCAGGTGACCTCAGCTACAGCCCAGAGGCCAGAACAAAAGAGCAACGGCATCTTGATGGGGGGAGGGGACACTATGACAACGGCACAGGGCCTTGGGAAGGCTGGTACAGCAAGGGAAAGGCAAAGCTAAGGGTGTGGCCAGGGAGGGTCCTGCAGAGAACCCACTGTAGAATTTGGATGCATGAGGAACAGGGAGAGGTTTCTGAGAGATGCCCAGGAAGCTGTGAGAGGGAGTTGGAGGACAGTGGCCGACCATCATCATAGAAACGTGAGCAGTATGGAGAAGAAAGGGCAGGTCTGTATTGTGTCCACAGACTTGCTCCATGCTGTTTTCCAATTGTGCTGGGCCCGCAGTTACCAGAGCCACTGCACGGCTCATTTTGTCACTCCATCTGACTCCCTGTTGGAAAATCAGTTGCTAAGAAGTTTCTAGGTTCATCCAGCATAAAATAGGAGGAGGCACAAGGACAAGGATCTCCAAGTGACAGACCTACAGAACAACCATGGTTGTCCAAAGGACCGCCCAGCTCCTGCTGTGCCCAGAAGAATCACAGGCCTGGCTGTGACCATCTGGACCACTGCCTCCTATCTCTAGGTCCGAAGTGATGTTCAGATCACAGCAGACAGATAGTTCTGTTGGAGGGGAAGATTGTGGCAGTCCTCGCAGTCCTCAAGACACCTTTTATTTGAGTAAACCTTGGAAATATTGCATACTTTACTGTAATTGCCTGGGTTTCTAGGCATCTGTGACTTCATCTGATCCAGAAACCAGTGCTTCATCCAATCAGAGACACAAGGAACTCCTCTAGGGTTAACGCTGGAATCTTTTGGGTTCCTTTTTTTGAGCTGCAGAAGGAGCCATGATGTGTAAAGAGTTTTCTTGGACTTCTCGGAAGCCTTTACATCCCCACCCCTCCTCGCCAGCTAAAGTCACTGCAAAGAACACACACACACACACACACACACACACACACATCTTACCCTTCAACAATAAGTACATGTTTGGTTCTAGTGTCCTTCCACTTTCAGTGTGAACTGAATTGGCTCATTCGAGGTACTAGCCTTCCCTTCAGCAGGAGAGTGGCAAGTTTGAGCCCATGGGACGCAGTCCCATGAAGGTGTTTTGTTTTAAGACAGAAAATCGTGATCTGGGTCTGGTTTAGAGACACATTGACCCAGCTCAGTGGTCAGCAACTCTGCCTTTGCACTTGAAGAGGAGCCTGGTTATTAGAGCCACTCAGCCAGGGTCAAACAGAGCTTTAGCTACAGATAAACAGGTGAGGACCACTCAGAGTGAGCTCTAGAGCCATACAGCAAGAAGCAAGAATAACAGCAAGCAGAAGGGTTCTCACTTGCAGAGATTTTTCTAGGTTCTCGTGGAATGTTTGAACCCGGAGGTATCTGGACTATGTGTGAGGAAAGATAAGGTCCATCAGAGAGAAGTGACTTTCTCAAAGACACAGAGAGCTAGCAACAGAGAGCCATCTGAGTTACAGACCTCCACCCTCCGGGCATGGCTCCTCATCTAGAGCGCAGATGGCCCATTCCCTGCTCTGGGTCTGGCTAAGGTACAGAAAGACACACAACACGCCACTGACCTGTGCTGTCTCATCTAACAACCTGCTCTCTGCCCTTCTCCATGTTTCCTCCCATCTCTCTTTGACAGAGCCCCAAAGGCAGGAAACACTGGCTCCCTACTCAAGATCCAGTGACAGATCTTTGGAACTAATGTGTAGACAGAGTCCAGCCCCGCAGCCCAGAGCTCCTTGGCTCTGCAGAGGAGTTACACACATGGTCAGGGAAAGTCAGCTGCCCCAGAGGGTGGGGCTTGTGGAAACGCTGATGGGAAAGAAGTCTACCTATATGATGTGGAGAAGACTAATAACTGTCTGTGAGGCAGTGGGCACTATACAAACAAGCATCCTTTAAGAGGGGGCAGGGCCAAGCCTGGACACATTTGTGTATGTTGGTGGTGGCTCTTTCATGCTCTAACTACAGCATGGTTGCATAGTCATAACTGAAGCCATAGACTTGCAAACCCAAAAGCATTTATCGTCCCGCCCATTACAGAAAACTGCCAACCCTGCTTCAGTTGTCAATGGGTCTGTGTTCAAGACAAGGTACTGCCCCTTCCCACATGGGTGACCTTGGGGTGCCAGTTTTTGTCTTGGTGCCCCAGACCCCATAGACTCAGGCACAGGAAAGCTCCAACTCAAGGTGTAGTCCATGTTTAATCAGCAGTAGATGTCAATCTCCCAAGAAGGAAGCCTAGGGCCTGTGACTTGCGGTTACAGGAAGCAGGGGGTGGGCTGCTGGGCAGAATTGAATTTCTTTCTTCTTGGGAAGTGTTTACAAACACATTTCTTTATTGTTTCTGTATGTGTTTGTTTATAATGTATATCGTTAGTGGGTGCACGTGTGCACACACATGTGTGCATGTGCAAATGAGTGCTTGTGTGTGTATTGTACCCTTGCACAATTGGGCTGCTGGTATATTCTACCATGCCTTTCTTTAACATAGGTGCTGAGGAATCCAAATAGGTTCTCATACTCGCAAGGCAGGGCATTTCACCAACTGAGCCATCTTCCCAGATCTTCTTATCTTTCTTAACTTTTTTTTCTTATCCAGATACTGGCTGACCAACAAAGTTCACATAAAAAGACCAACCACTGGCCTCTTGATGTACACTCTGGCCACACGCTTCTGCAATCAGATCTACCTCTATGGCTTCTGGCCCTTTCCACTGGATCAGAATCAGAACCCCGTCAAGTACCACTATTATGACAGCCTCAAGTACGGCTATACTTCCCAGGCCAGCCCCCACACCATGCCCTTGGAATTCAAGGCCCTCAAGAGCCTGCATGAGCAGGGCGCATTGAAACTGACGGTCGGCCAGTGTGATGGGGCCACGTAAGGATGGCAGCCCGCGGGACTCAGTGGCTCACTTTCCTGCCAGCTACACCACAGGCAGATGGGAGTCGGGGTGGCACAAACAATAGAACAAGCAGGCTAGTGGTTTCCTTTGTTACAGTGTAAAACAGTGACCAGAATATATATATCTATACCTGCATATATATATTGACCTGAGTATTTATAACTGTGTGGTGTTCATCTAGCGTTAGGCAGATAAGCCACAGGAAGAAGGTGTGGAGAACCCACCTGGACCAGATGGAGACTCAGTCCACCTTTGGGGACAGAAGGACTTGACAGGCCAAGAAGCCAGTCCCATGACTTTGAATGACAACCCGCCTCCTGGGTTGGACGGATCTCTGGGCTCATGGATGAATGGAGAGCCACCTGTTGTCAGCTTCCCCGAACCTCTGAGTGATGTGGATTCTGGGTAGCCCAGACCCAGAGAGGACAGTTTGAACCAGTCTAAAGAGGTGCAGTTCATGGAGGAGAGACTTGGAGAGTTCCGCTGGGCAAAGAGGCACAAGGAGACCAAACATCGGAGGTCACGACAGAGCGGAGGACCTTGTTCATGAACTTGAGAGTGTAAGTGCCCAGAGTACACATGGGTAGCACCTGTGTCCCCGAGAGGCCTTCCCAGCTGTGGAGACAGGCTGGAAGAAACTCGATCGACAGCCCCATATCCTGGTTAGACAGGGGCCACCCAGGACTTAGTAGGGTGGATCGGCAGATGACCCTAAAGAGGTAGAGTGTTATGAATTATGGTTTTAGAAGCTTGAGACCTTCCAGGGGTTTGCTCCGCCTCAGAAAAGAACAAAAGAGTGTCCAAAATATGGTCGTTTTGTTGGGTGTGCTTTAAAGCAACTGAGGCCCACTGAGGAAGAAATGATCCTGGGACTTCAACTTCCCGGTTAGCCTTCATCCCATCTTCCAAGACTGTCACACGAGAGAACTCTACTGTCCTGTCTGCCACCAGAAAGACACAGCAAATGCTTGAAAGGGCACAATCACAATAGGTCTCATCCTGTTCAAAACATACACGATGGTACACGGTGGCCTTTCTAGGCGCCCCACGGAGACCCGGACCGGGACCCCTGGAAGACTGTGGCGCGCCTGGCTCTAGGTCTCTATGTCACTCTGTTTGCTGTTGACATCCTGCACTCTGAGGGTCCCCGGCAGTCAGACGGCCATGTTGGTGTCACCTTCTCATCCCTGTCCATCTTGACAGTCGCACCTGCCACATTAAGCTCCACCATGGAGACTTTCAACTCTTCTGGGAGAGGTTCTCATGTCCACTCTACACACCTGCCCACCCTCACCCCACTACACAAGCAATGGCTGCAGTTTTGGCAAAAATCCTTCCCCGCCCCCATTAAGATTCACACTGAAGGCTTGTTTTCCTAGTAAAAGCCCAAAGCCAAACACAGAAACACGGGACATAATCTCCAGGGGAAATCTGGGCTCACTGCCAGTAACTTAGGGGTTGGGCTTACAGGTCACACGCAGCAAAGCCTTATCCAGCTTGATTTGTTAGATGCAGTCCCTCTCCTGATAAATAATGGTTTTTTAAAACATGTTTGAAAGATAAGAAAGAAAACTATTATCTTGAAGGTGAACAGAGTTACAGAAAGTAATCAGGAGCTGTTCCCAAGCGCATGAGGCCTGACGTAATTAATCAACAGCCATTCAGAACACAGCATTTGCTCTAAATTAGTGGCTGATGGGAAATGAGCAGAGACAATGGAGACACCCCAGAACCATTAACCCCGGGCATCATCCCCCAGCCCCAAACCAGGATGAGGATTGTACATCTCCATGTTCCTCTCTTCATTCCTGTTGCAGTACGAAGCGTGTGATTTGGTTTGGGATTTGCATCATAAAATGAATATTTAAAAAAAGCAGCAGCCCTAACAGCCACCCGGGGAACTGAGTGGTTCAGCCTCCCCATGAGCAGCGGAAATAATTAGCATCATATTTTACATGTCTCCGGAGCCTTTCATCTTAAAGATCTCAAAGGCTCTAGAAGACATTTAATTTCTAAAGTTTGCAGTGCCCTGGAGGAACCGGTAAAAATCACCAGAAGGGCCTTGCATTAGTAAAGCCCCTGGATGTCAGACTAGTCCATGTGGCAGCCCAGAGGTCAGGTTCTGGAGGTGACACCAAGCTTCACCCAGAATCCTCTCTCTGCAGAGGAGGTAGAGGGCCGGTTGTCTAACTGGATTTAAGCAGGCTGTAACCTAACCAGGAAAAGTCAGCAATCCCAGGACTACCCAGATATGCCATTTCCCTGACTCAGCAGGTCCTTGGCTATCGAAATGATCTGGGCATAGAGCAGCAGGGACTCTATGAGCCTTAGCTTCCCCTCTCCTCGTTCTCCTCCTGCCAAACTCACAGTCAGCAGCCAACTGCCCTTGACTGCCTGCTGAGAACTCACTTGGGGCTGGGTTTCACTGAAGTCTTTAGCACAGGCTGGCTGACCTTGGCTGGCCCCCAAGAGGCACAGACTGCACTCTTAACTCGATTGCTGCCACTGAGATCAATTCTAGCATCCCATCAGCCTCCGTCACCTCCTCAGCCCACCCACCTAAGCTTGCCAGACCTCCATTTACTTTGAGCCCCCAGCGACTCCACCCTTAGCCTCTGCCGTCACCAAATTAAAAAAAAAAAAAAAAAAAACAAAAAAGCTAGGCATTTGACATGAGACCTTTCCTCAGACTCTCTTGGCCTCTTCCTTCCCATTTATAAACTTCATTCTCCCTTTTCTGAATGAGTGAGGTCCCTCCTCTGGCCAGGGAGTTTCCCTGCTCACACCTCAGTCTCTCCACCGGCCCTCCTGCATTCGGTCTGATTTCTATAGCCTCTTCACTTAATACCTCCACTATCAGACCCTGGCAGGGTTTCTAGGCCCTATTGCCACCCATAGGTGCCACCTTAGTGTCCCCTCCTAGCCCATTCCTGGGACCAACATCTCAGTGCTAACTCGAAAGGCCACCCTCACTGCAAAGTTCTCCCGTGGATTCTCCTGGGAAAGATACTATGTTCTTAAGATTTTTACCCCTTCCCCGATCCCAACCTCCATGACCATTTATTTATATATTTATTTATGTATTTATGAGTTATTTATTGGCACTCCTACCTTGAGCTGAGAAGGCACCCAAGGAAGATCTGCCCATTTTCCCCCTCCCTTCTCCCTGTACCACAAAGTAGCCATTCCTTCTGATACGATCCTCTCCGCAGGCCCATGCCCACTGCATCGGCAGTTCCACACCTCCCTTCAGACCTACACTACCCAAAGAACACCTCCCACGCCCCTTAGCCGCTTAGCTCCACTGGATGTTCCAGCCCCCAGATGACACGCTGCTTGGTAAACATACTGTCTGCTCTGCCATCTTGAACTCATCACATCTGAAGCTCAGTAGACCATCTTCCCTGCACGACCCCTTCTCTTCCCACCAGAACACCAGTGACTCTTTCGACATAATCTGGGACCTTAAGGTGACCACTAACTCTTCCGTGCATTCCGTCATTACGCTTTCCAGCTAGTCCTGACTTCACCTCTACTTGTCCCTTGGACCCCTTAGTAGTGCATTCCTCTCCCAGACCTCCCCGAGCATGAGCAACGGTCAGTCCCTGCAGTCCTTCGAAAACCTTGATAAGATCCCCTGGCCCACAAAAACGTGCCCATCTTTATCCCGACATTACAGAGCACCCAATCAGCTCCGTTCATGCCCTGCACTGGCCAATCCAGAAGAGTTGTCATTATCAGAAAAGGGGCCATGTTTCCTGGCTCTGTGTCTTTGGCCTTACAGTCCCTGTCTTCTGGATCGCTCCTGAGTTCCTCCCAAGGCCCATGCAGAGACTGCATCCTCCATGAAGCCCTTCCTGATCCATCGTGGCTGGGCTCTCTCCCTCCAGGGAACCACCACAGCACTTTATTCGTCCCTTTCTCACGGCACTTCCCATGCTCTGCCTTGTATTATAGCTCCTCGTGCACTTGTCCGAGCCCTGTTCTTAGACTGGAAGCTTGCCAGGGGCGGGCTCTGTTTTGTTCATCTGTATCCATCACAGCGCTAGGCGTGGTGCATAGCACACAATGGTTGCTCAATAAATGTTTGTTGGATTAAGTCCTGGATGTCTAGAGAGGCCTTTGTCGTGAGCGAAGCCATTTTTGCATGTGTCATATCACAAGAACCTTCCAAAAAGTCACACGGGTTGGACATAAGCAGAATAAATAGGTCATTAAACTGAGGCAGAGGCCTACATGGAATTTTCACCACAATTCTGCCCTCACTGTAGGGCTTTTTCTAGAAGTCCATATGGTTGGAGCACTCATTCTAAAACTAAAAATTGACTTTAGCTAGATGTGGCCTTGGTCTTCCCTGGGCAAGGCTTAGTATGAATGCCAGCACACGTGCCCATCAACACGGGCAGATTTTCACTCTTCCTGGGGAGGACAAACACCATTTGGGTTTTCTCAGAGCCCGGGGACGTTGAGATGTGGGACCTCATTCATCATTCCCACTGCCGTGGTTGCAGTGTGGGAAACCATCCATCCAGATGGCAGAGAAACCAACGGCTCCAAGAGGCCGCTGTTTGATAAATCTCTTCATGCCTAATTAAGGCTTCCCTTCCAGAATGGAACAGAGACGTTTATTGATGCCAGTCTGATGGGACTCCAGACATGAATGCTGCCTCATAAACGCCCTTAACCAACAGCCCACCCTCACCCACCGTCTTACACCAGCCCTCTGGACGCCATCTTGCCCATCTCCATCTCTAGACTTTCACCTCCCTTCTGCTATTCTCCTCCAATGTTGGGGGGAGGGGGGCGGGTGGAGAGGGGTCATACAGGTCTGTTTCCTGAATGAGGAAGTAGCCACCCCCCCCCCGAGGTAATAGCTAACGCCTTTGTCTCTGTGGTAACCATTCCCTGACTCTGAGTGTCGGCTTTTATTATTGGATACCTGAACCCTAACCCAGGTGTTGAGAAACGGCAGGGAGGAAAAGAGGAGACCAAGCACTTAATACCATCCCTCAGGGAGGAAAAAAATGGCTCCTGTTGTGGTGGTGGGCTGTTCACAACAATGGGAGGTTTCCATGGTTACCATCTAGAATCAGTGTTAGTCGCCTTTGGGCATTATAAGGACAGCTGGGTTTTCATTCTCAGCAGTCCGGGTGAAGGGGGATCTTCATGCTTGGTGCATATACAGCCTCCAGGCAGGGCTTGTCTAGTTATTCTTGTTACCGTCAGCCAAAGCCCAGGAGAGTCACCCAACCAGATACTTAAGGACCTTTGTGGCCTGTGTCATCCTGTCTTCCTGAGCCATTACACCTTCCCATGCAAGAAACCTAGCAGGGAAATGGGCCTCCAAGAACTGTCAAGAAAGATCCAAAGGCTTCAAATAATAAAGAGGCTTCCACGGAGCTGGTGCAGAACCAGGTAGGAGCAGGTCAATCCTCAGAGAATTGTTAGGAAACGAAGACTCAATGAGTAGGAAGATTATTCTTGGTGTGCAAACCACACAGAGGCACGCAGCTTCTCAAACAACAGACAGCAATGATGAGTCAAATCAAGGCCGGTGCAAGAAAACACCCTTCAGTGTGGCTCCCTTTGCTTAGGTGAGGTTGCAACAGTGAAGCCGCTAAACAGCCGGTGCAGGGTTCACTTCTCGACACCCAATGAAAGATTCCTTTGTGGCGTTGTTGTGAAAATACAAATTAAGGATGCACTAGATAGGGAAATGGCGTGAGGAAGAGTCAGAAAGTGCAGTGCTGTGGAGCAAAGCTCTGACTGATGTTCAGGCTTCTACCAACACCCAATCACGCCCCTGACCTGGTCAGACCTACTAGGTTCTCCTCCGCCCTGGGAAGAAAATCTCAAGCCCTGTACCACTCTTGACCTCTCCTACCTCTGACTCATCATTCCGGACACCCAGCCTTTTTTAGTTTCCTGTAGCTTTTCTGAGTTATTCTGGTCTCAGGGATTTGGTGTCTGCTCTTCCCTCTGTTTAGAGAGCTGATTCCTCTCCACCTTTGGCCTCCTTGTCACCGTCACCTTTCAGGACTGAAATTGGATGTCACATGCTGGGGAGTCCTGGTCTTTCTCAGCTAATCACTTTCTATTATAAATTCAATTGTCCTAGTAGGTGGCTTCAAAAACTACAGCAATTGCATTCATATCCCTGTGAGACCCATGCCAGTAACTCCAGAGGACACCAGAAATCCACTGGACACAGATAGAATCAAATCCTATATGTACTGGTTTCTCTATACATGCCAACTTATGACAAACATTAACTTATAAATTATGCATAATAAGAAATAAACAACAGCTAAACATAAAATAGGACAAGTATATGTCCATTGTTCCCTTGTTTACTGTCTGCTAGTCTTCTCAAATGTTCTGGGGATGTGTGTGGAGAGGGGTCACATAGGTCTGTTTCCTGAATGTGGAATGAGGTATAGCTCATGTCTCTGTCTCCGATGTAACCATTCCCTGACTACTCTCAAGAGTCACAGGCAAACACTGACTTTCTCACGGGTGATGTTTTCCCCCTCAGGCCCTAAGCTGTGGTTTGATAACTCTGTAAGTTTCCATGGAGCACTCGAGTACACCCTCACTCTCACCAGAAACCACTACCCAAAGCCACCTCCTGAACTCTTGGGAATTCTTCTGTGGCCTCCCCTTGGATCCTGGCTTGAGGTCTTTCCATTCTTTCTGGCGACTGGGGTTTTTCTTCCTTGGTTTATGTGGTCATTTTTTGCTGCTGCTGGTGCTTAGATTTTTTTAAAATATGTATGGGTATTTTGTCTTCATGTATGTCTGTGCAATATTATATGTGCGTGGTGCCTGTGGAGGCCAGAAGAAGGTAGAGATCCAATCAGTTATGAGTTACAATTTGGGTATTACAATTAAGCCTAGGTCCTCTAGAAGAGCAGCCAGTTCTCTGAACCACTGAGCCTTCCCTCCAGCCCTTGCTACTTGGATTAGTGTGTGCTTACAGAGGGAATAAAAGACTGGTACATTGCCTGACTTTCTTTGAAGATAGAGGTTTTGATTGGCATGTCCACTGAGGTATCTCTAGCCACTAGAACTATGCTTGGCCCATAGTGAGAGTTTCACAGACTCCCATTGCATGGACAAAATTACATGAAAGCAGAATGTGGAGTATGGATGTGTGAGTACTTTGAGAAAAGATATGGACCCAACTGATATGGACCCCCTGGAATGGGAGAAAGGAAGCCTACTGTCTTAGGGTGTCTATGGCTGTAAAGAGACACCACAACCACCTCTTTCCTCTTACAAAGGAAAACATTTTACGGGAACCGGCTTACAGTTCAGAGGTTTCGTCCATTAATGGTGGTATGCAGGCAGACATGGGGCTGGAAAAGGAGCTGAGAATTCTACATCTTGATCTGAAGGCAAAAGAAACAGTCTATGTGCATAGGTTGAGGAAGAAAACCTGAAAGCCCACCGCCACAGTGACATACTTCCTCCAACAAGGCCACACTTCCTAAAAGCGCCACTCCCTGTAGAAGCCATTTCCTTTCAAACCACCACACCTACCTTTAGAAAAAAAAAAATGCCAGAACTTCCTCAAGAGGAAGGAAATTAATCCCACTTTCTCACAAAATATTTGAGATAACTTATAAAGGGCAAAAGTTGGGCTGGGA